CCCCAGCTTCCGGGACAGAACTGGAATATTTATGCTGTCCACCAGAAAGGCGCAAAGAGGGGAGAATACCACGTGAGCCAGTTGCTTCTGAAGAATTAGCCAGCCAGCGTTAGCCGCAGAGAGGCTTAGAACTTTCATGAAAAAAACAAGTCTGAAGGAAAAAAGGAGCTGACGTAAAATGTCATCTATCACGTGACCCACTCCACAGCAAAAACGTTGAATTGCCGGCGTTCCAGAATTCGAAGCTGGCTCCATAAAGTAATGACAGCACGATATCCGCATCTTAACTGACACCTGCAAATAACGTTAGGAAAGCAAAGTATTGCTAATTGGTTGCGAGATGGTTTAGTTCAGATTTAACGAGTACGTTTAATTAATAAATTGCAATTATGCGAAAGTAAGCGGACTCTTCACGTTCCTGCATGTAAAATAGGCAAGTCGTTTCCAACCACGTTGTTAACAGATTTATCTTTTAGGTTTCTGTACCGGCATTTCTTGAGCTAGCTGCCCGAACCTTTTCTCTTCAATAGCGTTTTCTGCTAAGGACCAAACTTTGGCAGTCGGCTTCTTAATGGTTAAAAGACATTACGTATAAAGTGACGTGAGATAAGGCCATTTATTATATAGACACGAGTGTTTTACTGGAAAATATACCACTCGTAAAATTCATAAAAACTACATCCGGGACCCGAGTGGTTTATTTTCCATAATCTCACACGTGAGTTTATCGATGACGTAATCTCGGTAATTTCCCTCTATTATTTTATCGATGTCTTTTTGTCTATATAATAAAAACAACATTGCACGGCGGCTTAAAGATATGAATTTTATTTTCTCGTGGCATATTGTTTTGCCACTCGTAAAAAAAAATTCATATCTTCGCCCCACCGTGTAATATCCTCTATGTAATAACTTTAAAACACAAACCAAGCAGAAATTTGAAATTTCCGATCCATAAAGGCGGCATATGTTGAATGGGACAGGGTTTTTCTTTGTTTCTGTTTTTTCACAATGGCAGGTCTAGACGGTGCAAAATTTGTCTTTGTATCTGATTTCAACGATTTTTGTTTAACGCTGTCATGGTAATATCAATTTTACTTAAAACATTTTTACATTTTTTTAAAAATTCTTACAAGGTCAGTTAGTGCTGAAATTTTTATGGCCATCGGACCCGGATAAAATCGTTGTTAAGGCGATTGAAGAATACTCGCTATTGTCTTCGAAAAACTGTATCGAAACACCCTTTAAGTTTGACAAGTGATTGGAGAGTTTCGGTTTATCAACTTGAAATGTTTAGAAACAAATTTTAGCATCGATTTTATTATCAGATTAATTATATATCATAATACATAATAACTACAAAACACATTTGTTTAGATGCTGACTGCAACTCTACGCAAAAAAAGGTTCACCACTGCTTTAAGGTTTATCAGGTTTTTTTTTCTTTTATCCACTTTGCTTTCTTCTATTGCTTCTTTGTCCTTGAGCAACTATAGCCAGCCAGACAGAACACTGACAACATTAACAAAAGACGGTCTTCTTTCAGCGAAATTCCGTTTGCTCGGTTTGGCCTACATACACAGTTAGTACCCAACCACAAACTAATGGATTCCACTGAAATTAATTAATTAATGAAAAATAGTGCTGCAGTTTTCCGTTCATAATATTCAAGCTTATTACCAAAAAAGACGGACCTCTTTAATTAATTTCCGGCTCTGAAGAAAAAAATCTAATTTAAAAATACCTTTAGACATCATTCTAATAACAGTATACTCTCGACTGATTATCCTCGACCTCACCAATTCCATTTTCCAAACGTGCTCGTTCTTCTTGAAAGGGATGACAATGATGAAAGTGAATAGTACAAGAAACTTCGTATATGTTTGTTTTAACATGTCTTTCACTCGGTGTAGAATTGTTTCAAAGTAAGGCACATTTGGCAGTCGAAGCATGTGTGGTGAGACACACAAAAGATTCTTTTCTTTTCTTTTTAGGTTTTTTTTTTAAGATCTCGGCTGTTCTGTAATGACTATTAATACCTCGAGTGTTTCATGACAAAAAGACTTTTCTGAGAAGCTAAGAAAAGGTAACTTAAATCTCTGCTCAGTTTATAATTACGAAGAGATGGCTTAACTGGACAGTCATCAGGCCTTTAACATTAAACGATCGATGGCGGTTCACAGAAAATCGAGAAGAATTAGGTCTGATGAATTAAAGTCTCACCTTTAGAAACGAAGACTATTATGTTAATCTTTCAGCTGTTAGTTCCCTTCTCAGTTGCCTTCTTTAAGCCTCTGAAGTTCAAACGAACTTCGTGTCCAGCTATATATTAATGTTTAGGAGAATAAGTCTAGCCGAGGGCTTCGCCCTTTATATATTGCCTTTTTTGTTTTGCCAGAGGAAGTCGTCATACCACATTCGAGTATGTTTTTAATGTTTTTAGACTAAGAATGAGCTACTAGCTCAGTCTACGTGTCTACGTGTATTTATCATAACAATGACCAAGCAGCCATCCACGTACAGCTTTCCTTTTTTAACAACACAAATGGACATCGGTGCTCTTTTAACTTAACCGTATTGTTCACCAAACACGTGCTTTTTTAAGTCACATTGTGCTTTGTATACTTAATCATTACCATTAACTTATCTCGAAGCTCTTATATATAGCTCCATATAGCTATCCTGTATCAAGATTAAATGATTCATCAATCTTGTTTATTTTTCTCGTTTCAAATTTTCCAGTTTTATTTTGCGAGTCTATTTATATAACATCAGTGGCACGCGCCTACTAGCTGTGTGCAGTGAACGGAAACTCGAAGCATCCGCCCTGTCGGTAATTAGGAGGGTGGACCATTTGATTGTGGGAAGTTGACTTTAAAAACCATGCCGATTAAATCGTAGAAACTGTTTTTGGTCCTGCTATGAAATATTCTGAATTACGTTAAAATTATAAATAAGCGCTTAAATAGCCAGGACCACACTGACCACATTAAACGGGTTTTATGGATGTGCTGTTTCAATCCTGGAGACCGTTACTTTTCAGTCTTTTTATTTTTTTAAATCTTTATTTGAAAGTCGACTAATAATATCAATCGTTATGATAATTTCGAATTTTTATTTTGTGCAATTATAATAATTACAACAATAAAATATGTTCTTTCAGTTAACGATCTTTGATTTTGGTTTCCCTTTATCCTGGTGAACACAGATCAGGACTTCCGCCTTCACATGCACAATACTTTTGGGAGAAAGAAGGTTGGAATAGCCTCAACGAACCATCAACATTTTAAAATTTCTGTAAGACACTATCGCACATATCAATTGGTAGCTACGGTGCTGTGCAGTTAAGGAAAAGAAGAGCACGGACAAAGAGCAGGCTTGAAAAACTCTAGATCGACCACTCGGCTATTATTAATAGATCTTGTGTGACGTTCTCATATTATGACAATTAGGTCTCTAACCATTCCCTCCAAAGACCAAGTTATGGCGGAAATATTTGTTACTTTAACTTATAAATCTGTGAACGAATTCAGAAAAGTGTTTGCATTGACATCATACTCAGACTAAAAAAACAACTTTTGCGTAGTATCTTTTTGTTTGGGGGGCTGGGGGGGCTTTGTTTGTTTTTCCTTGCGACTTAACAGGTTTAACAAATATATTGAAAGTTTCTTTTTTTTACTATTTTGCATTGATCACCATAAGCTGCATAAGCTGGAGCCAGGGGTTAAAGGTTAAAATAGTGGAACATTATTAGTGTTTAAAATTCCACGTGGAGCATAATCAAAAATGGGCAGTGACATCGGCCTACAATGGCAGTTAACAGTTCCTCAGGAAATTGTGATCAGTGCCAAGTTCCTATGTCCATGACGCAAAAGGAGCCGGATACATTACTCCACCCTGACGTATTAGGTGATTGTATGTACGACAAGCCATTAAAATGGAAGCTGAATCATTCAACGACCTCATAAACCGCCTGCAGAAATTAAAGACACTTCAAGGTAAGATTTTTTGAAATATTGTGTCAGTGTACGTTTATTTTTCTCATTTTTGTTCAGTTTTTTATCAAACTAACTATTATGATTAACATTGTTTGACCACGATAATCTCTGTATATTGGATGGACCGTTTTATAACAGTAGTAATTGAGGAACAAATGCATTCTGGAAGAGATAATTGACTCAATTTGAAGACATTTGATCAGCTACTGCTTGCCTAGAATCAACTAAAGCACCACACTACATTTTGGGTCGGGTCATTTGTAATGAGTTAACCGGCGATTTTTTTTTTCTTAATATATAATTAACTTTACCATCTCCTTTGCAAATTATTCGATCACTCAAAGCCACACGTGAATCAAACCTAGCCATTAAGTAAGAGAAATCCAACTTTAATAGCCAGTCTATAGGTGTTTTTTCTCCATTTCCTGCACTAAGTAATTCCCTTGAAAATCGGATCTCCTATCCAGAATTTTTCAAACTTGACATATTACAGCCACATATAGAAAATTGAAAACCTTACTGTAACAAAAAGATGGGTTCCCGTAACTGTCTAGGAGTTTTTTTTTTCCTACGTACAAAATGTTTCAATGACTTGTACAACGGCAAAAAGTCTTAGACTATAAATCTTACTTATTAATAAACGTTTTCAGCAGAGGGATATTGCAAAACAATGTTTAGAAAAAAAAAATGAACAGTTTTAACATTATCTTAATACTTTTAATTTCTGTGCATGGCTCCAAATGCGGAGTTGCAAGTCATTCATATCTATCTTGAAATAATGCAACTTCTGCTCTCCAGTTTTTTTTTTTTTTTCTCTTTAAAACACGTATTTTTCTTGTAACCGTAACGAGTAAAAAACACCAATTGCAACTGAAACGAGAAAGGTCACTCTTCTTGTACATGTGTCGTCGCAAAAACAAGCAAAGAAACAAACAAAACGACGATTTCGGCTTCAAATGATCCTTTTGCGCAAAGGGATTGGGTCAAATTTCAAGACCAGTCGGGATGAGCTATCACAATCGCTATTAAAACCATCTTGCCCCTGTTGTGCAAACTGTGGATAGTGTTTTCAACCGGATAAATCACTATCCAGCGGATAAAAATTAGGGAAACCAATTGCGTTATCCGCTGGATAGTGATTTATCCAGTGGATAGCACTATGCACCTTTTGAACAACTGGGGCCTGGACTACGAAAGAGGCCTTTTGTTACCTCTGATCTCTTTAGGCGAGCGGCGAAAAATCCCGTCAGCTTTGATGATAACGCAGTGTTTTGCGCAGAGGGTGTCATGCCTATGGGCAGTGCAGAACTATTTTTTTTATATAATTAGTGACCAACTAATGCCAAAAACGCGAAGAAATTAGCGACTCACCCTACTTCAGTTTAAACGCCCTTTTGAAGTCATAGGTTATAAAGATATAAAATATTGCAAGAGTTTTTTTTGTCTATGAATCCCAAATCGTGCATCCAGATTCTCAATTTCATATATATATATATCAAAGAATGGTTATAAATTTAGTTTTAAGTTCATGATGTGACAGTGAAAACTAGCAGGTTTTGATTATATCTCTCCTTGAATGAATTTTAACTTATAATAATGAATCGAAAGCGGCACCACAAGGAAATTAGCGCTCTGCCCGTTCTAGATCGATCATAAAATTATGAAATCCTTCCAAAACGTTTTGGAGGCTAGGGCGTAGTTGTTTGATTGACGGTTAGTGCTCATCCAGGGTTAGTTACCCTGCATGGTTTAAAGCTTACCGGAGTTCGAAAAAATCAATCCAGGGAGCGAGGAAGGGAGGAAGGGGATGTACGTTTCCTACCATGTCAGTATAGTGAGTATCTGACTTTAAATAATTCATCTGCCTGCCAGTTTCCAGTTCATAAACTGCATGAATGTGAATGGTCTTTAAATCCAATCATAAGAGTGTATCGCTCAGACTGAATTAAGTATTTCTCATTGGTCGCCCATCCGTGAAAATACTCGAAACACTCTAAAGGACGATTTGTTCCAGGAGTTCAGATAGTAAAGCGCGAGCTAATAATTGACTGAGGAAAAAAAAAACAAGGGAAGACTAGCTCTCTCCCAGTCTTCCCTCATTATTTCCCCCTCGTTTTTCCCTCGTGCGATTTAACTCGTTTCCCACCATCTGAACGCCGCGCTGTAACTATCTGAACGCCTGGAACAGGCTAAGGCTGACGTGAAGTCAGCAAAGACAACAAAATGGTTAATAAAATTAATCTTAACTACTAAGTCATCAGGTGACTTTAGTTATTGCGTTCTGTGGAACTGTGGCTAGAGAAATTGAAAAAAGAAAAAAACAAACTTAATTAAACCTTTAGTTAATGATGTTTTTTTGTTTTGTTTTGTTTTCAGAACTGAATAGTAAAGCGATTTATTCGTATCATATGTGCCCCCAGAGGACTGTGGAGAATAACCATATTCAAATCTAAACATGTTAACGTTATCCAAGAGCATCCCCGTGGTTTTGAGTGTCGTAGGTTTAAAGGGAAACCGGAGGCAAACTCATGCAGGAACAAAACATACAAGTGTCAATGGTCATAACATTTCTGCACCGGTGTTTAGCCTACACGAGGAAGATGTCTTAAGGATTTTCAGTTTCCTTCCTTTGAGTGACTTGATCCGGGTTTCTCGAGTTTGTCGATGGTGGTACAGATTGTCTTTCGATCGGTTTTTGTTTAAGAACGTCGATTTAAGGCCATTTACCAATCTCCTTACCGATCCTTTAAAGATAGAATTGCTATTTACGAAGCGAATGGCTTCAATAGTACAGTGCCTCGATTTAAGTGGATTTAACATTTCGGGTGAAACTTTAAGGATACTTGCTTCTTCTTGTAGCCAACTCCGTGTTTTAAAACTTAAGAGTGTAACTTTTACACCTGGAACAAAAGGAAAAGATATTTTCCCTGAAAATCTCAAAGTTCTTGACATCCGATTTTCTCAAGGCCACCCGGGCGTGTACCGAGCAATTGCAACAAGCCTCGAAAACATCAGAAGCCTGAGACTCTGTGATGCTTTTCTTTACACTCTACTACAAGACGGAACATTGAAAACAACAATTAAAAGCTTGAAATATTTGCGCGAGCTCGATCTTAGTCACTGCCATTTACTAGACGACAATACTTTGTCTCTGTTTACTTCTTGTAGCCGGCTGGAGGCCTTAAGTGTGCGCAAATGCTTTATGCTTACGGGCAGTTTTGTTAACGATTTTATACAGTCTTGTGCTCATCTCAAGACTTTAATTCTAGATGGAATAAGTATCAGTGACAACACTTTGCAGAACATAATGTGGGATCATTCAAACTTGGCGCATCTGGAGTTAGGATGCTGTCCGCTTATCTCTTCCCGCGTGTTAAACTTGGCCTTGAAACGAATAACAACCATTATCCATTCCCTAGAGTATTTAGGGCCCTGCTCAAATAAGGATAACAAAGCACCCGACGAACAAACTATTCTTGAACTGGAAACAGGATTATCGAAAAGAGGTGCACGTAAAGTAAAGCTAACTCGAACGTGGCTTAACCTCAGATGTTCGCAACTGGACATAACCAAAGAGTTTTCCTTTTACGAGGGTTATCAGTCGCAAAATTTCTCAAGTTCCAAGTTCACAGCGGAAATAATAAAATACGCACTGGAGACTCTAGTTTGACTAGTTTGACTCTAGTTTGTAAGAGATTATTTAGGCAGCGTTTACACTTAGTGCCCGGGAACGGTGACATAGTAAGGTACTCGCTGGGCACTCGTCTGAACACACTCTTTTTTCAAGTACTTACTTTAGAATTTAGGCACAATGCCGGTACCCGTGAATACTATTTAAGAGGGTCTGAATGCAATAAAATTATGGGTTATGGAGGATCCGTTTGTCGTTTCAGTGTCGCTCATAAAAATACAGTTATTTTGTCGGTAGTCAGTTAAAATGTTCGATCTCTGTCGGTTGTCGGTAAATCTCAGTTAATAAGTAAAAATGCATGTTAATCACTTGAAGACTTTGATCCCTATAAAACGTGTAAAAATTGTAAAACTGGATCATTTGATTGACCTTAAACTTTATATTGTATAATAGTAAGGATAAAAGTACTAAAGCTTTTATTCCAAATGCGAACTTGGTTTCTCTGTTGATTACAGGGCACTATAAAAAGTAATGAACAGAGGCTTTTAAAGCGTTTACAAAGTCGTTCGCGTGGCCTGTCTGTCAAGCCACGCGAACGATTTCGTAAACGCTAAAAGTCATGCAAGAGAAAAACCTCTGCTCGCGGGGTAGCTCTTTGCCATGATTTTCCTTTCTTGTAGGAACTAATAGGTGTTTATTCAAAAATCTAGCAAGGTAGTGGTTGGTTTTGTATGAATTCAACTTTTTATCTTTTATAGCTTAGACACCAAGGGCTGATATTGTGTCACGAAAGGCGAAATTTCTTTTTCTTCCTAGCCGTTTTGTTTCAGGAGCGAAGATTTCCAGTTTCTGCGAGTTTTATTTATTTCTGATAGCAATTTTTCTGTCAAACTGTGTTGGTAGCCTCTGTCCATCAAGCGTTTTTTTTTTTTTTTTTTAATTTGAAATACTTTTCTCAAACGTTCTTTAAGGCTAAACTTTTAAGGCTTTTCCTTTGTTTGTTTAAAATGTGTCTTTACATCAAGGATAGCTTTCGTTGAATCCTGGCCTTTGTATACAACTGTGTCTAAAAACTTTGTCTCGGTGAATTTCGGTGCATGGTGAATTTAATGGTAGGGTAATGTAAGTTTTGCTTGTTCGAAGAGAGCTCCGATGTCTGGTTTACTTATGTCCCACAGCGAATAAATATTATCCATATATAGCGTTTCCAAACAGCTGCTTTAAAGACGATTTTGCTTAGACTTTGTGTTTCAATGTATGCCATGAAAATGTTGGCCAAGGAAAACTGCTGTCTTTGTGCCCATCGCGGTACCGTGGGTTTGTAGGTGGAGCTTCTCATTAAACTGCTGGAGAAAATTTCTTTGAGGATTTAATCTCTAAGCATTTCTCGCAGGTAATGTGTTTGGAATAGATGATGAGTTGCTTTGTAGAAATTTTCAAAAGTTCTGCAAACTATTACAATATATACCCCTGTCTGGTGGTATATTTGAAAGACGACTTGTGACCTCCATCGAAACTAGAAAAGTTTGTTTTTTCACCTTTCTCTTTTCAATAAAATTTATAAAGTCGGTGGCATCTTTAGTTACTTCCCAGAAACGTAGAAAAAATACAATACACTCTTCTTTGTGAAAAAAAAATATAGATCAGTCCATAGCCCGGCAGCAAATGTCATGAAATAAAGTCCCTTAGGAATTTTGTGAAGAAAGCAAGCCAGTAGACTATATGTGTTAAGGGACCCTGCTGAATAACATGAAAAGTTTTGGTGGCAACTTTGTAACTTGCTCAGACGGGATTTTTATGGGGTCGAAAATGTGATGTTTATATATCAGCATGGAAACGAGGCTCAAAAATAAAATTGTCCACAGCTTTCCATTATTTCCGTAAAACTGTATCAAAATCCCCACATTTGTGCAAATCAATAATTCCAATACGAACATAAGATTTTAAGAGGTTATTGGAGTCACGTGACCAAGTTAGCACGAAAACGACGCTCACTCAAAAGCTGCACTGGTAGCCTTTAAACTTCTCCTGACGAAGACAGAGATTGACAAAAGTAATGCAGGTGGATATCATCTGTGCAATCAAATGTGATTATTTGGTAATTACGGTTATCATGTGACCACGCTGACATGAAAACGAGGCTTATTCAAAAGTACATCGTAATAAGTATTGCCTTGGTTATTTTACCAAAAAGAAAAAGTTTTAGAACATATGTTTTATGAATTGTTTTAGAGATATTAAGTATAGGTAATCACATACGAGTAAATTTTTCAAAGACCAACAAACCACTTTGTGGTCTTTGAAACATTCCGACGCTGCCATCGATGGGTGAGTGGAGCCACAGTTGTTGTGATGTCGGAAGCTGCCAGTATCAATATAACATTTGCTTTTCAACAACGCTGGGCTTTTCATTATTTCATTTGGCCTACTGCAAGAGTCATCGTAGCTCTTCTTCGTCGACTTCATTGTAGTCAGGTCAAGGAAGTTTATACCTCTGTGGCCTGTGACATTGGTGACATTTTGCTACTGAGGTAGAAAAAAAAAAACAGACCATCGCATGGATGTTTTGATAGGGGTCTTAGCTCCACAAAAGACTCAAAGAGAGGAACCGGCAACTTTTCTCCTCCAACAAATAACGTACGTGACTTGAAATCCCTGTTGTTATCATGGAAAACTTGTATCCTTGTTCATTTAAGCCTGAAAAGTGTAGCTGTCATGGTTTGCGTGTTGTTGCAACCGTTTTTGTTCTTTATTTTTTCACTTCAGCGTAGTCTGTTATAAGTAGAGATAGGTTGTTTCAGTTTCTCTGGCTCACTTTCCTCGATTTTGTTGACAGTATTTTTCTCTTAGCACCGAATTCTCAATACATTTAGCCAGAAAGACGTACCTTTTACTGTGTTCGGGTTTTGGGATATTTTTAACTTTTCTGTTGTTGTTTTGCGTACAAAATTAAATCCCGTCGTCGTCTGCTGAAAACCATGGCCATTTTCTTGAATTTTGTTGTTAAAACAGCTCTAATATGATTGGTTCTTGGTGGTTTCTTTTTTTTTTCAGCCAATCAGAAACCATTTGTACTTTGCACCCGTGTTACAAATTTTGCACTAGTGTTACAAATTTGCACTCGTGTTACAGAAGAACTGCACTCCTTTCTCAGCCAATCAGAGTTGAGTAATTCTTTCGTGTATATAACAAATATTGGGCAGGTAACCAGTTTGATCAAAATAAAAACAGATTCTGTAATTTGCACACGTTTATTTCAGCAAGTCTGTCATCTCCTAGTTTTTTCTTCAGAACAGTTGTACAATTTAGCCAAACCAATGGATCAGATAAACTTTCCTCTCAGTTAACCCTTTTTATTTCCTCCATCATAATCGTCATCATCGGCAGCATTAACAACCTCGGCGTTCCCATCAGCATCATCATCAAAATCAACAACACTTTGCTTGTCGAAATTACGACTAGCAGAATGTACATGTTGAAGAGTATCCCCGATTGAAGATAGTCACAGTTCCTTCAGTTGCCGAAGTACTGTGAGACGGAATTTGGGCCTTAAAACTTAGAGTGCTTGTACCTTTATATACTATTCTTTGCAAGACTGGGTGGAGGGGAAGGGGGAGGGGGCGCCGCCATTAGCCTGCGAAAACATCCGTTTGTCCACGCTCCAACCTCGTCCGCAGGGTAGCTCGTGATGGGTGTTGTTGTCATATTTTCTCTTGGTCAAGAAGTGGGGTTGTATGATGTGAGGTGGGCGGGGAATATTTAAAAACATCCTCTGACCCCCCCTCCACCCCCCCTTCTCGATTAACATGCTGTCTTCTCTGTGCGTATTTCGGCATTCGCCACCGCGTTCTTCTGAGATCAAAACTTAAAACTAAACATGGAGAAGAATACATGTCAGCTCACGAATTAGGGACTGTGCAATAATTGTCAGGAGGGGGGGGGGCCTAAAACCAGAGGGGGGGGGCATTACATAAAATTGCTGCCAAGATAGGGGGGCTCAAAGTAAAATCACTCATTTGACGGAGGGGAGGGGCCTTAAGTTTTATTCGAAATGTAAATAAAATTAAACGCAATAAAAGATTCTCAATACAGGCATCATGATAGACTGTAACAAATATCAACACGAACAGCTGTTAAACGATTATTGAAAATATTCCATCAAAATGAAAAGCAAATTCACGACTGATCAATTTTAACCCGTCGTCTAATTAATTGAGCTGATCCTATGTAAAGCAAAAATCATGAACTTGTTTTTCAGCTTCCCCCATAAAACAATGGGAATCAAACAGATCTCGTAGACAAGCTTTGTCGGTTTTTGATGTGACAAAAAGTAATGTTTCTTCATCGACTGAATCGATTTGCAGAATTCCATATATATGTGGCTCATAACAAAGTTCAACAGGCTCTCCTCCCAAGGATCTAAATATAATGCAAGCTCTTTTTCGTCTGTTATTTGAAGCGTTCAATCTCCTGTTCTTTGATTTTTTTCTCTGTACCTTTCTCTTTCTGGCTTCAGAAATTTTAGATTTTGAGCCAATGTGGTAAGCACCCCGGTACTTAGCAAATGCTTTGTCTAAATCTTCAATCAAGCGATCCACATCCTTCTCGATACTAGATGTTACATAATAACGTTTCTCATTATTGAAGCTGTGATGACAGCTCAGTCCAGTTTTGAGTTTACCAGTGTGGTGGGAGGGGGAGGGTGCGACGTTATTTTTAACATAACAGAGGGGGGGTTAGAACTAATTTTTTTTGTTTTGGAGTTGGGGGTACTGTCTAAGTTTTTGCTAGATAACTCTAGTTTTTCAGCCCCTCCCCCTCCTGATAATTATTGCACAGTCCCTTAGGGTTGCCGGAGTAACACAGTTAAT